GTTATGACGTTTTGTGGAAAAATTTGTAGGTGATGGAGAAAAACGAATATCATTTTCGGATTCAGCGTACAGGAAATACTGTAGAACATGTAAAAATTTCAAGACAATAAAACCACTGCAGGCCTGTACTATTATTATTTTCTTCATGCAGTCTTGTATTTTAAGTGCTGTCCACTTTCTGCTTTACTTTTTCCTTTAATTTTTACTAATATAAGTATTTTAATAAATTGGTGTCCAATGGGGTAGCTTACCCAAACTGCAATTCCGAGAATTCATGGTTCGTTACCCGTAGTCGCAAATACTACCCAACCTGTTCTTCGGGACTATTGATGGTCTACAGAGATTGAGTACGTTATATTAAAACGATTCTGGAGTCCATGTTATCATGACTGGTTATATTCTATCTGACAACCGTGCATCTTGATAATAGCTTTTCAGCGTAGTTTAGAATGTAAATGGCCACGTCTTAAGAATGACACGTCTAAAGCACACCCCTCATCCTTGCTTGTCTTCCATAATCTATCTAGTTTACTAACACAGAATCCATCGGCATTGTGTTCGGCAAGTTGATTAGTATGGCTTCATATGATAAACATGAATACCTTTTATTCACCAGCTGCTTTAGGTATGTGGTGGTTAGAGAGATATGTTGTGGCAGCAAGTTGAATACACATGTATTATATGGATTTTCCAAATAGCAATCCTTCTTAATTATGATGTGTACTGTTGCCTGAGCACGGGTGCGGATTTTGTCACTAACCTTTCTGTTCGTGGATGATCACCTGTTAACGGAGGTTGCACTTTGTTTACCATACCACGACTGGGATACAACTTGTTACAGGTCTCTTTCTGAATGATCCTGGGGTCTCACGTTGATTTGCTTTCCTTTATTTTCGAATACCATTAAGTACGAGGGAAATCCTCATCTTGAAAGTTTTATATTCCTATCTGAAAACATATCAGTAATTGAGAATATGAATATATTGCGTCTGAAAGGGCTGTTACATACACTTCTTAAAAAGTGATCAATATGACACCACCTGCGACCGCCAAACAATGTCAAAATGTAGTTCTGATACATTCTGCTCCATTGTATCTCTACATCGGTTGAGTTTGTCATGTGACCTGTTCATTTGCCTATTAAATATTGTTTAAATATAAAGTTCTCAACCGTCTGTATAAGAGCGAGGATCAAATCCCTCTTTCCGATTAGAAAAAAGTTAGCGGTTGGTACTGTTAACAAAGCTCAAACTATTTTTGTATGGCTTTGGCTTAGGTGTAGAATTTGAAACTCTCTTAGCGATTTGAGTAGATTTGATTTCAGTAGAAATGTTTAATGTCATTGTAGGAAATAATAACTCTTTAGGTTAAATATAACTACGATTATTAAAAAGGAACATTTTAAGGTGTCATTGCAATTCGAAACCACGAGTCTACAATATTCGAAAGTTCCTACACATTTAATATCTAATCTCAAGTTTAATGACTAAAGACTAAAGAATAATTCAAATATCAAACACACAGACTACAATTGATCTAATAAGAAGCCTAGTCTTGTGTTTCGCTTTGCCCTTTTCCATGAACTTTGATAAAAGGTGTAATCCGGCCTAACTTGACTTCTCATTTCCTTTTTCTTAACTATTCTATCATTCTATCATTGTTAAGTGCAATTTTTTGTTAAGAGAAACAATCAACTTAATGTTAAAAACTTTACATACTAATGTCAAAGTAAAAAACTGTTCCGTCCAAAGAATTTGTTGCATAAGTAACAGTGTTAGATTAGCTTTTCGTCCTCTGTTGGTTATTGAAATTGCAAAGTGCAGCTTTCATTTGGTATATTTGTGTTACATTATTATATCAGTCTGACATATGCAAGTTTACATAAGTTTTGTGTAAATTAAAAATATAGTTCTGTTTTATTAATTCTAATGTTATACTTCCTTAATGCTGTAAGAGATAACGTATTAAAGAGCTTGCTAAATTAATCCCTTTATGTTACCTCTATTTGATAATTTGAGGATTAATTTTGTACAACAATGAAATGTACTAACATATCCACAAAGTAAATATCTGATGAGTGATTTGGTCCATCTTTTCCTTTTCGTATGTACCAATAGCTTATTACCTTGTAGTCTGAAGAACAGAGCCTTGAGAGAATACATGACAGATCATGTGATTTTCCTAACCGTATTTATTCGTAAGTTAAGCAAACATTAATGTTTTGTTCAAACCTTTTCCCACCAATTTCCAATGTTTAGATTTAATCAAGAGACAGTGTTTCTTGGTACATTTGACATGGTTGATTCCACTTTTATCGTTAAGTCCTTGCAAAAGTGAAGTGTTGTCATGGTAACGAGAGCTAGCTACCACGCACACGCACGTAGCATTTGCTGTACGACGGATCTGTATTGATAATAGATATTTTTCAGTCATGAGAGACTTCATTTCATTTGAAGATGTTCCTGTGAACATTCTGGTAACAATGAACGAGATCATGTTCCGACAAACCTCGTATACAACACATATTACAAACAGAGGGTATCGTGAAAGTTAAGTCATGTATTCATATTCCTATAAAGAAAGACAAATAAATAGAATAGGAATTGATAAAATCTGAGATAGAGCAGGATATGAATGAGGTTAAGAGTTTATCAAAAAATAATTACAAGGTATCATGAAACAACCACAATCGTTGATCAGTTTGGCCCTTGCGATCTGATGGGCACAGCTACTATCCTGAATGTAAATTTGGTTATAACAGCTATGCCCAACACTGCCGTTCATTTTAAAGAGCCAAGTTCTATCTCACGTCATGAGAGACAGAAGAGCCATTCGTCCTCGAGCTCGTCTGAGTCTTCCTCTGACTGTACAAACACTCGTGTTAGTCGTCATCGGCGCCGACGTTCTCTCTTGTACCAAGTCCTGGTTTCTCCCTTAAGAAAGAAATCATCTCTTCTATCAGACCTACCTTGCAATGTGATGATGGTGAGTGAGAACATATGTTGCAGAATTAATTAGAACATATTAAAATATCTAGAAACAAATATTACACATTATGTTACCTCTAAACACGTTTTGTAAATAGCTATTTTGATAAGTTTAAGTAATTCAATAAACATTTCCTTTCTTAAAAGTAAAGTATTGTAAAGAGTGATACGTAAAATAGAATATTTTTAAAATGACTTGAGAACCGTATTGGCTAATGTAGTGTGTAAATAGTCTTTAAATATTACTTGTAAATATTTAAAGACAAACTAGTAAACTTAAACAACTAAATGTTTCACAATATTTTATTTTAAACACACAGGTGTCCTATTATCAAAAGAACAGTGTACAAAGTGGTGCAAAACACTCGCACTTTATTCAATGTACATATACGAACATAATGAATGATAAACAACTTGTTAATATCTTTTGTAATCAGCGAAAAAATAACTAGAAATGTTTAACGAAAGTGAAAGTTATTGTTTTTATGCGGCAAAGTAATACCACTCTCAGCCATTAACATGGAAGCCCTCCGCGGCAGCTCTCTGGCATGTTACACCTGTTAATTTTGGAGTGTATGAAGCAATACTTAAAGATTGCAAAAAGTTTGTCTCCTCCTTGAGCGAGCAATACAACATCTCTGTTTATCCTGTCTGAGTCTGTAGTTTGAGTAGTGGTGTGATTATTTCCCAGTTGATCCATTGTACCTGATAAGTCAGATAGATAAGAAATCCGTCCTTTAAATCGAAATCGGGTCAAATAGCATCATCGAACTGCCTGACAGGAGTTTCTATGGTCTCATTCCTATAATACATTTAAAGCACCATTCCTAATGATATACATATCATTACGCTTAGTGGAGCTTTCACTCCCCACAAACAACATCAAACAGCTAAGCCTGAGATTGCCATGTTCAGCTATCGTGCAGTCTGAAAACTGTCCAGGTTGCCTCATTTTTCGATGATGGCCACCATGTCAATCAAGACCAAACCTGGAGAGAGCTACATTGACTAGCTTTTTGGCAACTATTGACTAGTTTCTTCTGTTGCTTTCTGGCCTGATTTTAACTTGATGCTCATCCCCACAATGCTTTTATTGTAAATATCTACTGTATTCATGAAACTGCTATGAAAAACATGTTGGCCAACATTTTCTCTTAACCTCATTACCATATAACACATTCTGTATCAGATATTTCTGGTCGGTTTATATCCATATCTCATCCGACAGATCAAGTGGATGAGCTGGAAAATATATATTTAAAGGAATGGGGAACACTTCTCGCTTCATCAGTCTAAATCCGGAAACACGTACAGGTTTTGCAATGACGTTCACTATTAAGGAATACACAAATATTTTTGTACTGTTATACACGTTAGTCGTGAAGTTTCTTCATATACTCTCAAACTAAGAAGTGTGGTATGTCAGGGAAAGGTTGTGTAGAAGTTCGATGTTTAACAGCTTGGTGTGTTTGATGTTATCTTAACAAGACAGCAATTCCGATTTCATTAATAATATGCAAATTACAAGTTAGCCATTTCCAAAATATATTTCAGTAATTTGTTTACTCTTGATTTATTTTGTCTAGCATATACATGACTTCTTAGGTTTAGCAGAAATGAAACATTCATCTTTGAGTCTAATATCTTATGCCTATCTTGGAACTTATGTTATTCTACTTGATGTAAGAACTCTTAGTTTTCCTAAGAGTGGGCTTCCAACACATCAAAATCTATGAACGATTGTATTTATAAGCAATTTTTAGATCTTGAGAAAATGAATTCCGAAACCAAGAATGATACAATCTGTTAATTAGGCAGTTGCTTTAACCATTGAAGTTGTACTTGGAAAAATGAAGAATAGTGCTTGCAATGTCAGCATCAGTAGCTAGGCGCATTGGTATGTCTTCATCTCTTTCACAAAAGTACATTATTAGTGGTTTTTATTAATTCAAGGCTAAAAGTATTATGTTTTATCTTTCATTAAGATGTGCAAGGGCTCTATTAACTTGTTGCATAAACAGTAGTATTTCATGATGATCACTAAATACTCTAAAATACCAACCCGAAAATGAAGAAAAATATACATACGTATTGATTGTGGGTCCTCGATTTTCATATGAAACTATTTTTGACGCCCGGAGTCTAACGTCTAGGAATAGAATTAGAGCAGATTAATCTTGTGTCGTGTGTCCTAAAGCCTTTTGGTGTTTAACATAGGGTGTACTTTACATGTGAAATAAGAAGATTGATTTTCTGTGTTCTACAGATGAAGCTAGCTTGCATGGATCGTGATAACTAGGAGATATTTATTAAGTTTGTCTTCCCATAGTTTATTAATTCAGACTTGCCTAAGAAAGTGCTGCATTTTTTGAACTTAGTTACTTATCATTTGCTTTCCATGACCACGAAAATGACTCGAGATATCACAAAGCTTATAAACGTGTGTTAATAGTTGTTACTTTTCTATTTAACCTGGCTTTTCTAAGTGTTTCAAGCGTGTGATCTTTCATTCGTATATTAATGATAAATGATAAATTCAATAACTGTATGGTTAATGCCTGTCGCTAAACTGCCCCGAGTGTAAAATGGCTAATTAAGAAACGAAAAAAATAATTAAACTGACCGACATTAATGAGTACTATAAAGAAGGTTTGATACTCAAACATTAACATATTTTACTATAAAAGAAAAATATATTTTTGAGACTACAACAAAAATACTGCTAGAAATAAGGATTGTAAAATGTATTTGGATTAAGGAAGGAAAAATCTCAGTGAGACAAATCGGAAAATATAAAGATAATATCAATTAAAACTGAACAAACTTTAAGTAAATTGTAAAATATGTTTCGAAATCATGATTGATTAAATATTTTTATTAAATATAATAAATGAAGAAGCAATGATCACCATAAGACTAATTGTTTTTCTGGTTCAAGTGTAATGAATCATTACAAATTGGTATACTTGGTTTGAGTGAGAATATTGATTTTTTTCTATTGTAAATGTACAATTAATTCCACAGAAAGTACACATTATATTCTTTACAGAAATCTGAGCAAAGAACGTTTAACATACAAGAATACCAAAGTAACATAAAGTTAGAGATTAAAATATATCTGGAGATATAATAATCTTTATAAATAATGAAATAAGTAACTACACAAGTTGATGTAGCTAAAATATTAAGTATACGGTGTATATGTAAAATCAACAGGTTGAAAATCGTAGCAATTTATAACTCGTATAGATATAGAATACAAACTTATATCACACAACCTACAATTTTTAAAATGAAAATAAAATCAAAAATGTGTATATTGTATTAAGACATTAACATGAAAATAATTTCTGAAAATAATATTATAAAAGAATACATAAATATATGTTAACTATTTTGGGGTTTCATTCGTGTGTGCATTTTAGAAAACACTCGTATTTATGTTTTTATCATATTTTTATTAGAACAGAGAAATTGGACTCGATACAAACAGTAGCTATAAAACTAGAATTACAGAACATTTTATTACAGCGTTAAAAAATAACTTAGAAATACAAGTGTATATAATAAATATGATATATTAAATAATAGTGAATTACCAAACCAGATTATAAGAATACTGATACGTTATAAAACAAGATTATTATAATAGAATTTATAAAGTATCAAATACTAAAAGCACATTAGACTTTTGTTACTATATTTGAGAGTATAATTGAACCATCTAAAAATATGTAAAAATAAATAGAGGAAAAAGTGAAACAACGGATAACAAATGAAATATTAAGATATATTCAACATAGAAATGAAATGTAAAGAAAATAGGAAAAAGTAAAAAATCAAACCATATTGAGGGAGTTGAATTTAAGAATTATACAAACTATCTAAGCAGTCTTATACTACAAAAACATATTACTATAAACAAAAATACTAGACAGTAAAACTAATATTAAATACAATGAAATATAATTATAGAGATTATTGAAGACAATCACAAATTTTAAAGTATGTAAATAGGTAATAGGAATATTAGATTTAATTAACATCCTCAAATATATATAAGTTATTCGAAAATATTTTTCATAAACAGTGCAAAAGAAATTACGTGTAAAAATTCTTCTAATTGCTAAAATTTAGACCTGTTAAATGAAATACAATATTGAAAATTTTTTAACTGTAAGTTCAATGTATTTTACATCAAGTGATGGATATGAAATTATGAAAGTTATAAACTCTCTAAAAATTTTCAAATTGTACAGGAAAAGATCAAATAACAAGTGAAATTATAAATCACAATACTGATAGATTCGACGCTGTATCAAAACCCAATTTTAAGCGTTATTAGTCTTCTGATGTATCTCTGACCTACCATGGAACTGCTTGGAGGGAGTGGGAGAAGGTACTTATTTAACAAATTTAAAGTTATAATACGGTTACAAAAATATTATAAAGTGTATGTTATCATTATCATAGAAGAGTAATGTAAACATTACATTTTAAAAATGTCCAGGTGGTTAGCGTGCTTGACATGCAATCTGAGAGTCGCGGGTTCGAATCCCCGACCCACCAAACATGCGTGGGGGCGTTATAAGTGACGGTCAATCCAATTATTCAATGGTAAAAGAGAAGCCCAAGAGTTCGCCTTCCCTCTAGTCTTACACTGCTAAATTAGGGACGGCTAGCGCACATAACCCTCGTGTAGCTTTGCGCGAAAATTCTAAACAAACTAAACCACACGTAGAAATTATGTATTTGTAAAACAGTAAATAGGTTTAGCAAAGATATATAGCAATGGCTAAAATCAGAATCAATATATGAAACAAGAGCTGAAGAGCTTGGAAATGTACAAAATAATAAAGTAAACAAGAAAATATTTATTAAACAGTTGCTTGTATCAAGTACCAATGCTTTATAATAATGTTCCAAATAAAGATATCTCTGTTGATAAAAATATATGCCTATTAAGTCGGGATTTTAAAAAAATGGATAACTAATACT